CTGCCGGTGACGATGAGGCCTCGCCCTCCCTGATGGAGTTGATGATGAGGTTTCCGAAATCGACAATGAGCTCGTTGGCTGTTGAAAGTAAGAAAGGGTCTATCCTGTGTGTACCGGTACTGGATCCAAAAGATGTGGCCCTCGGTCTGCTCAAACAGCACACGAGGCAAGGGTCCCTGCGAGTGCTTCACCTCCACGGCGGACTCTCCCCCGCGCAGCGCGATCGAGCCCTTGAGTTGCAAACAAAGAAAAGAAACTCGGGCGTTAGGGCTATCACGATGAACGCCACGGGTACGTCGTATGTACCTTGAAGCTGATGCGATCGTAGATGATGCAGCCCGTGTGCACCTCGAAGAAGAAAGGCGCAAACTTGGTCTTGAGGCACTTGGACACAATGCCTTCCATCTACACCCACACGTACAGCAGCAGGCGTCAAACAAGCTGCGCGAACACATGCGAGAGAGAGCGAGAGTGAGAGGCGAGCAGGGGAGGTGGCACCTTGGACGTGGGCGAGATGTCGTAGTAGGTGAAGGGCTCCTCTGGCGCGGCCCACTCGCTGCTGCCGGTCTCCAGCGCCATGCCGCTGAGGTACGTCTGCTGGTGCTGGCCGGCGTGGTCCTCCCACCAGCTGCCACGCTTGATGGTGGGCGGCGTGGTCACGCTGGCGCTGGTGGACGAGCCGGCTGGTGGTGGCTGGTGTTGCTGGTGCTGGTGCTGGCCGCCATCGCTGGTCTGCAGCTTGGACGTGTAGTGCTGCTTGAGCCGCGCGTAGCCGGCCAGGAAGTCCTTCTCCCAGCTTCGCCCGTCCTTGTGGCGCTGGTGCTGGTCGTCTTTGTCCTCCTTCTTCTCCTTCTCCTTTTCTTTGTCCTTCTCTCGTTCTCGGTCACGCCGCATCATGAGGTAGGGCGACCGGCCTTCTCTTTCGCCCTTGCCATGTCCTTCCTTTCCATCTGTTGTTGCATATTTGTCTTTGTTACCGGCTTCCTTCACTTCCCCTTCGTCTTCATCTGCACGAACACGGTCCTTGTCCGTTATTTTGTCGTTTCTCGCCTTGATGGTCTCTGTTTCGGGATCCCAATCGTCATCGAGCGATTTCGTTCTGCGATGCCCCTTCTTGTGTTCGAATTTAAACTGCGATTGAAATCGCTTCAACGCCTGCTCCTTGAGCAACATCCTCTTCTCACCACCCGGAGAAGAC